GCCAAGGAACTTCCTCTCATTTTTAAGTCTTTTCTATGTTTAGTGTGAGTTTGTTGGTTGACATCCATGAGTACTTTTTTAATGCACTGTTTACAATATTATTTGGTGTGTGGGGGTTAGGGTCAGAATAAATTAAGGTAGTATCGTCAGCAAATAGTATAAGTTTAAGAATGTTAGAAACATTTGGCAAATCATTGATGTATATAAGAAATAGGAGAGGTCCCAAGATGCTGCCCTGTGGCACCCCCTACTGTCAATGGTAGAGTGGGGGAGGCTATGCTATTATGGTTATATATATTGGTACCTATCACTGAGATAGGAATTCACAACGTTCAAAATACGAAGTGCTAACCTGATAGAAACGTACGATAATATACTGCCCACCTAACCTAACCAACCCATGCATAGAAAACTCAGATATTTGAGCCTCTGCTTTTCACAGTTTTTTATATGTACGTTAGGAACTGCAACGTACAAAATGAGACATATTATTTTAGAAGACTGGTTGTTACTTTGATAAACACGTCCAAAAAACACCTGAACAACAAAACTGTGATTCACACATCAGTGAGAAGTGGCATCTAACAAGCCTGGATGACCAGACCACAAACCAAGAGGCCTGTTCCGAGACCAAACCACAGGGTCATTGGTCCTCCGAACCACATCAAGGTACCTTCACAGTAAATAACGCTTCGAAAGGCTGTTCTCATCCTGTAAATATACAGTGTGAGCAACATTGTATTCTTCCCTACTAGAAGAACACTGAAAACCCCAACTGTTGTGAGTGGTATCTAAGATAAGCCTGAGTACAAGAACACTGTCAATCAACGGATTCAAAGAAGAACCATGCTCACTCAGTTTGCCACTCCGTCAAAAATACGACTGTTTTGTCTAACCAGAAACGCACGAACCCAAGCAACCCACCTAACCTATGATGGCGGCATAGAAAACATTATTATTACAGTGCTTACAATTATATAAAGTCGCATTTTTAACGATTTATTTGATTCCGCGAAAAAATTCATAGAAAACGTGATCATTATGTATGCTTTAATTTTAACTAATACGTCACATTTTCAATGGTTGATTCAATACCGTAAAAAAATAAACTTTTTAAAGAATCCTTCATGAACTTGAGGAGCCATTCAGAGCATTGTGCACCACTAATGTCACTCCAGTAATAGAGGGACAGAGAACGAGAGGTTATGAGCTAGAGCCCAACTCCCAGCAGACTCTGCTAGGTCAGGGTTAGGGTATACTAGCCCAGGGCTGGGTATACTAGGCCAGGGCTGGGTATACTAGGCCAGGGATGGGTGTACTAGGCCAGGGATGGGTATACTAGGCCAGGGCTGGGTATACTAGCCCAGGACTGGATATACTTGCCCAGGACTGGATATACTAGCCCAGGACTGGATATACTAGCCCAGGACTGGATATACTAGCCCAGGACTGGATATACTAGCCCAGGACTGGATATACTAGCCCAGGACTGGATATACTAGCCCAGGACTGGATATACTAGCCCAGGACTGGATATACTAGCCCTGGAGGACTGGATATACTAGCCCAGGACTGGATATACTAGCCCAGGACTGGATATACTTGCCCAGGACTGGATATACTAGTCCAGGTCTGGGTATACTAGGCCAGGGCTGGGTATACTAGGCCAGGGCTGGGTATACTAGGCCAGGGATGGGTATACTAGGCCAGGGATGGGTATACTAGGCCAGGGCTGGATATACTAGCCCAGGACTGGATATACTAGCCCAGGACTGGGTATACTAGCCCAGGACTGGATATACTAGCCCAGGACTGGATATACTTGCCCAGGACTGGATATACTAGCCCAGGGCTGGATATACTAGCCCAGGACTGGATATACTAGCCCAGGACTGGATATACTAGCCCAGGACTGGATATACTAGCCCAGGACTGGATATACTTGCCCAGGACTGGATATACTAGCCCAGGACTAGATATATACTAGCCCAGGACTGGATATACTAGCCCAGGACTGGATATACTTGCCCAGGACTGGATATACTAGCCCAGGACTGGATATACTAGCCCAGGACTGGAGCCCAGGACTGGATATACTTGCCCAGGACTGGATATACTAGCCCAGGACTGGATATACTAGTCCAGGACTGGATATATTTGCCCAGGACTGGATATACTAGCCCAGGACTGGATATACTAGCCCAGGACTGGATATACTAGCCCAGGACTGGATATACTAGCCCAGGACTGGATATACTAGCCCAGGACTGGGTATACTAGCCCAGGACTGGATATACTAGCCCAGGACTGGGTATACTAGCCCAGGACTGGATATACTAGCCCAGGACTGGATATACTTGCCCAGGACTGGATATACTAGCCCAGGGCTGGATATACTAGCCCAGGACTGGATATACTAGCCCAGGACTGGATATACTAGCCCAGGACTGGATATACTAGCCCAGGACTGGATATACTTGCCCAGGACTGGATATACTAGCCCAGGACTGGATATACTAGCCCAGGACTGGATATACTAGCCCAGGACTGGATATACTTGCCCAGGACTGGATATACTAGCCCAGGACTGGATATACTAGCCCAGGACTGGATATACTTGCCCAGGACTGGATATACTAGCCCAGGACTGGATATACTAGTCCAGGACTGGATATATTTGCCCAGGACTGGATATACTAGCCCAGGACTGGATATACTAGCCCAGGACTGGATATACTAGCCCAGGACTGGATATACTAGCCCAGGACTGGATATACTAGCCCAGGACTGGATATACTAGCCCAGGACTGGATATACTAGCCCAGGACTGGATATACTTGCCCAGGACTGGATATACTAGCCCAGGGCTGGATATACTAGCCCAGGGCTGGATATACTAGCCCAGGACTGGATATACTAGCCCAGGACTGGATATACTAGCCCAGGACTGGATATACTAGCCCAGGACTGGATATACTAGCCCAGGACTGGATATACTAGCCCAGGACTGGATATACTTGCCCAGGACTGGATATACTAGCCCAGGACTGGATATACTAGCCCAGGACTGGATATACTTGCCAGGACTGGATATACTAGCCCAGGACTGGATATACTAGCCCAGGACTGGATATACTTGCCCAGGACTGGATATACTAGCCCAGGACTGGATATACTAGTCCAGGACTGGATATACTAGTCCAGGACTGGATATACTAGCCCAGGACTGGATATACTAGCCCAGGACTGGATATACTTGCCCAGGACTGGATATACTAGTCCAGGACTGGATATACTTGTCCAGGACTGGGTATACTTGCCCAGGACTGGATATACTAGCCCAGGACTGGATATACTTGCCCAGGACTGGATATACTAGTCCAGGACTGGGTATACTAGCCCACGAGCCTTGTAAAGCAACACCCAGGGAAGGGATTTAGGAATAAAGCCAACTGGGTGTTGATCAGTTGTGTCATCTCATTAAAATATCACACACTCCACTAGTCAAATTAATTTAATTTTTGTTTAAAATATATACAAATATTTTTTTTGTCTTACCGCAGATAAAATGAAGGTAGATTGTTGTCCCTCGTGGGCGATGGCTTTACTGCCAGTTTGTAAACAAAAGTCAGTTTGTAAACAAAAGCCAGTTTGTAAACAAAAGCCAGTTTGTAAACAAAAGCCATTTTGTAAACAAAAGCCAACTTGTAAACAAAAGCCAGTTTGTAAACAAAAGCCATCTTGTAATCAAAAGCCAGTTTGTAAACAAAAGCCAGTGTGTGTAAAAAGCCAGTTTGCAAACAAAAGCCAACTGATAAACAAAAGCCAGTTTGTAAACAAAAGCCAGTGTGTAAAAAGCCAGTTTGTAAACAAAAATCAGCCACATGGCACGACAGTGTCCCTAATTACACAGGTAAACATTATACTGTATATCAACCAAGGTGTTTACACTGACATGTGTATTTCTAAGTGTATATATACAATGTTATATACAGAAAAGTGTAATACAATGTTGTATTAAACTTTTAGACGATTAAGGCAGCGTCTGGGATGCTCTCGGACGTAAGTTCGAATCCTCGTCACGGCCCTTGTGGATTTGTTCATTCCTTTCGATACTAGTGTTTGGGAACCAATAACAGGCTTCAACGCACATATTTTATTTACTTTTCTAGTTGCTCCGCGTCTCTGAAAAGCTATGTATGTGTTGAGACTAATATATATATTTCTACATATGTATATTCTCATCTAACAATGCCAGGAGGAATTCCTTGTTTCACCTGGGAGGTGATTCAGGGGAAATAAGGAGCCGGAGAGAAACACAGGAATCTTGCCCCTGCACGGCCTTGTGAAGTCTTAGTGATTAAGGCAGTGTCTGGGATGCTCCCGGACGCAGGTTCGAATCCTCGTCACGGCCCTTGTGGATTTGTTCATTTAGTGAAGCCATGGCTCTTGATCACAACACTGTACGCTCCAAACGAGTGCTAGTAAGCAGGCGAGGAGTCACAATAACGCACAATAACGTGGCTGAAGTATGTTGACCAATCCACACACTAGAAAGTGAAGGGACGACGACGTTTCGGTCCGTCCTGGACCATTCTCAAGTCAATCGTATGTTGACCAATCCACACACTAGAATATGAAGGGACGACGACGTTTCGGTCCGTCCTGGACCATTCTCAAGTCAATCGTATGTTGACCAATCCACACACTAGAATATGAAGGGACGACGACGTTTCGGTCCGTCCTGGACCATTTTCAAGTCGATCGACTTGAGAATTGTCCAGGACGAACCGAAACGTCGTCGTCCCTTCACCTTCTAGTGTGTGGATTAGTCAACGAGTACCAGTAACTATACTATATCCATGTATACTTTCAAACTATCACCCATTGGTGATAATTAATGCATGGCGTGGGGAGGTTCTGTTGTGCTGGCTGACAATGTGTAGTGAAGAGCAGCTTACAAAGCTGCAGGGAGTTGTGCAATATAATCTTGACAGGAATAGTTGGTGGGAGTTGTCCAGATTGCCTTGACATCCGCGGCTGTGGGCAGCAGTAGCAGCCTGCGGTACTGGACACACTAACACACATGAGGGGGGAGACTTGGAAGCAGTAGCAGGAGTAACTACAGTATCAGCTGCACACTAACACACATGAGGGGGGAGACTTGGAAGCAGTAGCAGGAGTAACTACAGTATCAGCTGCACACTAACACACATGAGGGGAGAGACTTGGAAGCAGTAGCAGGAGTAACTACAGTATCAGCTGCACACTAACACACATGAGGGGGGAGACTTGGAAGCAGTAGCAGGAGTAACTACAGTATCAGCTGCAGGTTGTTACCCAATGGGAACTCATTGAGCAATCATGACCTGAGTAGAGTCGTCATGCAACCACTTGCGAAACCTGTACATCTTTCCTTAATGTTTAGATTTATTAGACAGAACATGAGCCCCGAAGCCCTACGAGTTTGTTAATAACAATAACAACCTTGGGTTGTGAAGCTCCCAAGCTCGTAAACTGTTTAATAGAAACCTGTTTTTAGAAACCTATTTTTAGAAACCTGGGTTTAGAAACCTAGTTTTAGAAATCTGGTTTTAGAAACCTGTTTTTAGATACCTGTTTCAGAACCCTCTTCTTTGAAATCTGTTGTTAGAAACTTATTTTTAAAAACCTGTTTTCAGAGAACACCTTCTCACGCCCTGTATAAAGTCACCTTCACTGGTTCTCTCTCGCCCTCAGCTCAGCCTGAGAGAGAAGCACAGGGAAGCTGCTGTATAGGAAGATCCAGCACCAACATCAACCCCAGCAGCAACAGTAGCAGCAACAGTAGCAGCAACAGTAGCAATAATTGCAGCAGCAACTGAAACTAAGTTGAGCAGAATTGAGTGAAGCGACACTTGCTATTCCGATCACAACTCAGCTGTCGCTTGCAAGGAATATTGTCACGTCGCGGCTCTGTTCGTCGCGTTGTTTCCCATCAATTTTAGATTGACTGGCAGACGAGTCGTTGAACATGTTCCATGGCTGGCACCGTGGCACATATTGCCATTGTGGCACCCCCAACATCAGCCACTATGGCACATATTGTCATGGTGGCAGTCTTGCCAACCAACGGAGGCCTGAACCACATACCAACTTTACACACAGAAATCACAATAGCGTGATGTATCAAATGAACCAATCCACAAGGTTCGAATCCTCGTCACGGCCCTTTGTTTCCCCTCACCCACGGTCCTTGTCTCCCCTCACCCAGTCCTCGTACCTCGTCCTCGACCGAAATATTATGGTAATCAAGAGCGGGAGAAGTGAACACTGAGTGTTGTGGTTGTGTGTACTCACCTCTATGTGTTTATGAGCTCGGGCGCTAGCTCCTGGGCCCGTCTTACCTACCAGCAATGGCTTTTTGTCATATTTTTTAAACTATTTGTTGTAGTTGTTGTTGTTGTTGCTTTAGGGTTATACTATCCCACAAGACAATTCCCTAAAGCGTTTTGATGCGTTTATAGGCCTTTACTTATCAAGCATTTACCCAACTTCTTACGAAGCCTGTGCATCTTTCCTCAATCATGGCGACTTTGCTTACATTTATTAATAGGTTTCTATAAATAGGTTTCTAAAAACAGGGTTCTAAAGCAGGTTTCTAAATACGTTAAAAATGCGACCTATTATTACAATTTATAGCACCATAATATTGACGGGCTGGGTCTTGGGTTCTTTAATTTTGTGATACATATTTATGGATTAAAATCACCTTCAATGGATATAAGGACATATATAAGGAACTGGGATATAAGGACAAGGAACTGGGATATGAGGACAAGGAACTGGGATATGAGGACAAGGAACTGGGATATGAGGACAAGGAACTGGTATATGAGGACAAGGAACTGGGATATGAGGACAAGGAACTGGGATATGAGGACAAGGAACTGGGATATGAGGACAAGGAACTGGGATATGAGGACAAGGAGCTGGGATATGAGGACAAGGAGCTGGGATATGAGGACAAGGAACTGGGATATGAGGACAAGGAACTGGGATATGAGGACAAGGAGCTGGGATATGAGGACAAGGAACTGGGATATGAGGACAAGGAACTGGGATATGAGGACAAGGAACTGGGATATGAGGACAAGGAACTGGGATATGAGGACAAGGAGCTGGGATATGAGGACAAGGAGCTGGGATATGAGGACAAGGAACTGGGATATGAGGACAAGGAACTGGGATATGAGGACAAGGAACTGGGATATGAGGACAAGGAACTGGGATATGAGGACAAGGAACTGGGATATGAGGACAAGGAGCTGGGATATGAGGACAAGGAACTGGGATATGAGGACAAGGAACTGGGATATGAGGACAAGGAACTGGGATATGAGGACAAGGAGCTGGGATATGAGGACAAGGAGCTGGGATATGAGGACAAGGAACTGGGATATGAGGACAAGGAACTGGGATATGAGGACAAGGAGCTGGGATATGAGGACAAGGAGCTGGGATATGAGGACAAGGAGCTGGGATATGAGGACAAAGAACTGGGATATGAGGACAAGGAACTGGGATATGAGGACAAGGAGTTGGAGTATGAGGACAAGGAGCTGGGATATGAGGACAAGGAACTGGGATATGAGGACAAGGAACTGGGATATGAGGACAAGGAACTGGGATATGAGGACAAGGAACTGGGATATGAGGACAAGGAACTGGGATATGAGGACAAGGAACTGGGATATGAGG